AGTTGATCATTGATCAAAGATCAATCAGACAAGTGTGAATACACCAAAATCAGTATATTCTCTATCAGTATATCAGTTTATATCCTAAGGTATATATCTGACGATCCATGATGCACGTGGATTAACAGCAATACGGCGTATTATAACCCTTTGATAACTATATTCTTATATATACAAGATACCTGTGATGGGCTGTACTAATAAAAATGTATACTGTATATACATTCTTCAAGTTAGCAAGTTACACAAGTAGTATAGCATACTACATGTTATACACGAGTTTCTTCACCTTTTTACAGACTTATTACCTTCTATGTTTTTTATAAAAAAATGTCTGAAATTCTGCAGGGAGGGTTGTGGGTTTGAGGTATTCATGCTATTAAATTTCGGTTGTTAAAGGGAAACGCGATGAGAAGATATAAGGGAGTCATATGCATATCTGCAGTACGGTGGGACTTTCTCTGTTATTATTTTAATTTGCGAATCAGTTGAGGTTTACTAACTAATTACCTCTTAACACTGGTCATGGGTACTCACTCACCTCAGTTCCTTCTAGCCACATAGTGTCTATGAGGTTTTTTCACACACACAACACCTAAGTAAGGACTGTTTCTTGTAGAAAGTCCTGCTTCATGATAGCCTTTTTGACAAATTGCAAATGATTAAGCTGTTGTCGATTATAAAACTAAACCATGCACTATGAGATTTAAATATATTTGTGAAAATACCCTGATCTATTGTGTGAATAGAATGAGATTAAATTTATCGGAAACCCATTAAAATATCCTGTGATGGTTCCTGTGTATTCGATTCTCGGTTTCTAGAACGATATCGTGGCTAACCTGTATAAGATTGTAAGATTAATTGAATTTAAGCAAAACAACACATGGGTAATCTTTCAAGAAGGAAAGCTTCCCGTGAGGAGTTTCCATGGAAAACTTGCCCTAATCTGGGAAAGGTTTGAAGAAAACCTGAAAATCTCCGTTCAACTACTCTATCAATGAGATATAACCCGTGACCGCCTACTAATGTTTATTGGTTCCATCCACTGGAATACAAGTACTCCTTTTTACACTTGTCCACTAGTAAGTCCTTTTCGATGTGTCATAGTATGATGTTAGTACTCCTCAATTTACGTAAGTGTTTTTATGTTTAATATATTTTAATATACCTTTACTTCTTCGTAGACTGTTGTGCACTCGTACAGTTGTACTTAAAGTAACTGACTCAACTCTTTTCATAGTATAGAATGTTTCAATGAATAAAATTTTATATTTACAAATTTCTAATGAGTTTAATCTCTCCACAATATATTTCTATTTATTTTAAAACTACTTGATGATTGCTGTGCTTTTCCTATAATTACTGAAATACGATAATACTTCTATTATCTAGTACTTTATGAATTTATCACTTCACTTCCAAATAGAAAAAAATGCTTTTTTTCATTTGGCTTTCTTTTTGTCCCATCAACTGTAGTTTTATGCAGTTTTAGATTTTGGTGTGTTTACTCGGCTATCTTTCTAGTTTCCTCCTCTGTTTTATCTACTGTCTGAAAATTAACTATATTTCTGGGTATGGTAACGTATAAACCACAAACTTTTTTGTTTTCTAAATTGGTCTTCCTAGACAATATAGTTACAGTTCATTTTATGGACGAACTTTATTACCAGTTTCTACAATGTTTCTACTTTATACATAAATCAATTTGCTTTCTACAAAATGACTGACTCTTCTTAAAAGTGTCAGAAACTAAATGCATAAAAAATGTACCTTTAAGAGTTTACCGTGAACGTATTTCATTTCCAAAAAATAATGATTATGTTTTGCAGTTTCTATTGTTATCTTATACACAGGTAAGCCAAGCCATTTTGAATATTGTCTACTTGTTATATTTCTGATTCGATTCCTGTAATACTAAGCGTATATGTGTTTTCGAAACTTACTTTTATATTTTGAGCATTAAAAGTGCTTTTTTCCAAGATTTGTCATGTGTTTAACAACGCATCAATAAAGTAAGATGAGTGATGAGGCGGGTCTTTACATATCGAGGACAAACCTACTCAGAAATTATCCGGGAGTTTTTCAATTTTTCAGATTTGATAACGATTCTGCAGAGCCTGCTTTAATATAAATTAATATATTATTAACGTATTTTAATGCAAATAATACAGTAGTTATTATAATTAACATAATTTTTACTAATATTCTTACATTGTTATAATTATTGAATGTTTCAGTGCAGCCATTATGAACTCACTTCCTGTAAAGTTTACAATAGAACAGAAATAATTGAATACGAAAGGTCAAAACCACAACGGATGACATTTGGTTTAGAATTAGTAAGTATGAGTAAATTTGTTTTTATGTTCGTAAAACATAAAACGAACATAAAAACAAACATAGCGTGCTTTGAGATACATGCGCTGCCATTTTGTTGTACATTCAATCGCGCTCTTTCGGGTAGAGTGGACATACGTTGGCCGAAATGGAGAACGATAAATTCGATACTAATCTATTTATTAATGAAATCTAAAAGAGACCAGCTATCGTCAAATGATTTTATAGACATTCTAAAATAATTAAAAAACTTGGGTTCGTATTGTCTCAGTTTTGGATACAATGTCACAAACATTCATGCGTCAGTCTATCTCGTAATATTGGGTGTACCCAAAATTATTTTTGCCTCTGCCATCGTCTTTTATAGCGACGATGTAGGAGGCACACGCGAGCAATTCATTTCACGACCATTTCCAAACTGAGCCAGTGCTCACGCTCCACTAAACGGTCGTCGAACGCCGAGCTATCACGCGGTGTGTACGCTGCTAACGCGCGTTTAACGCAACGCACAGCCTTATCCAATAAGTGAAATGTCTTTTTAATAATTTGTTTAAAAAGGTTTAAAAATTATTTGCTTTCCTGAAATAACTAGCTAACGGTGCAGCAAAAAATCCATCAAATTCGCTTTCTGATAAGTCATCATCATCATCAAGTGTAGCATGTTGTATAAATAGAATAAATAAGTAGTACATAAATAGTATTTTTACATAATTTATAAAATTTGTATGTATTGTTTCATATATTGTACTGCAACCACTGAGCACAGGAAGAACTCTGTTATGTGATCATCAAAATTTCTCAAAGTAATATTGCTCATTGTATTAATGATGAACAGATGTTAATGTTAATAAGAGAACAATTGTATCGATTACAAACTGTTGAGTACAGATATATCAGAAAATTCATGAGACAGCAGTTAGAAAATTGGTCAAAAGTTCCCGTCCAGAAAGACTAAATTGTGGGTCGAGCAAGATAGAGAAAGGGAAGAAAAACTCGAGACTGGTAGCACAAAAATCTCAGACACTTGGCAAGGCTAGTGAGAATAAAGAGATAAAGAGTGAGAGAAAGTACTAATATTATTGTTAATTGTCTACTTGGACATTATTTATTATTAGGACTTAATACTGGTGTTTAAAGATTGACACAGCAATGAGAGTTAGTTTAGGAAAGAGCAAAATTTCTTTATTATATCACCTGTAGTAATGGTTTCTGTACACATATTACACGTGTTTCAGGCTAGCATGCCCCTCATCAGTAGTACTACTACCACACACTAAAAAGTAACAATAATAAAACAAAATAAGTTATTGTATAAGTTAAAATTTTTACATAGCCATAAAAATAATTTTAAAAACTTACTGTAAATACATATTCCAAACCCGAGTATATATGTATTTTTCTCGTTGTATAATTAATTAATGAGTTAAACATTTCACTGTATAAATAAATTAAAATATAATAAANTAAATTTTTTATTTTATTATATAAATATGTATGTTATATTATTTTATATTTTTAATTATACGAAGAGAAAAAGAACTTACAGTATTGATTGATAACTAGAAAGAGAATCCCGACATGAAAAATTTACATTGTGTGAAAGTGCTGCTTACTACAGCTTTTCTAAATTGCATAGTAGAAAATCTACGTGCAAATGTTTTCAATTTTCTTTTCAACGCTGTTCGGAGCGTCCATTTCTCAGAAGTACAGTACGATGCCGTCATGTTTGCACTTATACCTGTTAATTAATCAATAATCGCCATCATATTTTATCCAATATCACAACTCCTGCATTTTTCATAATCCATTTGTAAGAAATATAATTGTTTAAAATGCATACTCAAAAAAATAAAAAGTTTTTTTAAAGTTTGTCCTTTTTTTTATTGATGCTATAAGTCTAAAGAAAAAGAAAAGCAACCTTAGCGCTCGTTTAATTCATTACTTCAAATTGTGAACTATCATAACCTTAACTTTCTTAAAATTATTTATAATATTATGGGTTAGAATGTATAATTACTCGAATNTAATTATTTTTTTCGGGTATTAAATTCAATTTTCCATTTAGTACATTTTTAACTCTTTCAAACAATTTAGGTACATACATTTTTATTACATGTTCTATTTACATCTCTTGATTTTCTAATTTACTAGTTCTGTTTTTAATTTTTTCTATGTACATTTTAAAGATGTTGAAAGCTTTTGATTTTTAATGTGATAAAGTCGTGTGTTCAGCTTAAATCAATCACCTAATTTAAAATTGACATCGCTTAAAATATTATATAAACAATCAGAATTCTTCACTAAAAGTGATTATTTTTGAATTAGAACGTTGTAATTTACAATAACATACTTATAAAATTTCACTAAAAATACTAACATTTAGAAAATTAATCTACTTACCGTGGATGCAATAATTATTTACCTAGAACACTTTATTCATCAAATAACAGGAACCGAATTGTTTGTAATTATATATAATTACAGAAAGTAATATTTATAACATAAAACTGTATAAAGAAGTAATACATTGAATCATATTTACGGTTATTAAAAATATAAATACAATTCTTTTTTATGCAAATTATGGTAGAGAATCAACGTGTGTGTGTGTGCGTGTGTGTGCGTGCGTGTGCGCGTGCTTGTAGGCGCTGGAAAATAAAAGAAATAGTTCATATCAGTCAACAGAAATTTAAAGTAAAAATAAGACTGGTTTTATTCTGTAAGTATTTCAGATATTTTATAATTAGGATAATCGCTTACAATTGAAATTTCTATCATTCTAAGTGAGATTAGATTATTAAATGAAGAATATGTTACTGGACAGATTAAAGAAAGAAGATTAAATTTTCATAAAATCCTAAAATCTTTATTTCTAATTTAAACTTTTTGGATTCATGCGGATTTTGTAAACTTGGATTTGTTATTTACAATGCAAATTTCGAAAAATATAAATGAATGTGAGCCCACGTATGGCCTGATTAAAATTCCTATTTTCAATTTATTATAGGCCACTTTTGCTCTATTCATACAATAATATAGACAAATTATAATTAAAAATTTATACTTTTAGTTAATTAAGGAATTATTAAAATGATTTAATTACATGCTAATTTAATCCAGAAATTATAGTAATTCTGATTAGTGGATAATTTTCTATATGAATTGTAATGTAAAAAAGTATACGAATATCTATGAACTAAAATTTAGAAAATGTAAATTAGAGAATGATCGTTATAAAGCTATGACACACAGAGAACTTTGTAGCCCCAACAAATAAGTCAAAATTTGTGAATATGCTAATGTAGTAATCAAAATGGTCCGCTACATAATAAATGACGCTGTAAACAAAATTGTGAAACGACATAGATTTAACCTTTCGGGCAACGCGCCTTTCAGAAGCTCACGAAAAGCGCATAGCAGCAATTACACCGCATATGTAATATTACTTGATTTAAATCGATAATTAATAATTCTTTTAAAAATATGATTCAGTTATACCAGATAACTAATTTTACGACATTTTAATAAACAAATCGGTTATAAAATATTTAGATAATAAAAATAAGTCACTCTACTTTCATGTGATGTTCACCTTCACACATGACATATATAATAACTATATTAGTATGCTTTTCGCAAACATTTCTTCTGCATTCCTATTGTTTTTGTGTTTGGCACAAATAAAACTTATTCCTGGTTTTGGTACTTCTTTGGGCAGCTCTTAGTTTCCTTTATATTTTTCCAAAAATGTGCGAATGCCTTTAGGAAGTGTCAGCATCATAGATCTTTTTTTCAAATGTTCTTCCATTAGACTTAGGGCAAGTTTAATTGTAAAATGTCGTCTTCTCTCTTTGTTATCGAGATTACTAAATTTAAATATAATATTAGAATTTATTCCAGCAATATCGAAATGAAGAGAAAAGAGAGATAGTGGCTATCTCCTTGTAATTCGAAATGTAATATAGGATGAACACATCTGATCTACAGTGTCTACACCACCTTTAGTAGCATTGTAGTCCAAATTTATCACAGCATTGTTAGTTTCCTGATCAACTTCAGAAGTGTCATGCATGGTCGAAAGAAAGTTTACAACTTTTTTTCTTTGGAACTATTGAAGCAGTACACTAATTATACTGAAAACCAAATAGACATGAATTTATTATACTGAATTTGTTTGGAAAAAATTCTGGAGGTATTTCTTGTTCAATCGCGAAAAAAGTGTTCCAATCGGGAGATCTGATTGGAACACTTATAGACTAATATAAATTTAAAAAGATTTAAAAAATAAATATAAAAGTAAACTGATATTTTACTTACATTGCGGCGCGTAGCGACAGTACAACCCAAATGAGGTACGACTTGATTCAAAGTCCAGTAACAGCTAAACAGTTAGTATAACTGACCCGATTTCACAAACAAGTTGTAACTTGTAATATGAAGAGAAAATACTATGACGTATTTCCACAATAATTAAGTACAACGTCAAACAAAAGATTTTATCTTTATTTTGCCGCAATTTGCTGCAGGCATGCGCCAAAGGGTTAAAATGAAATGTCCTGTTTCAGTAATTTCGGTAAGAATCGCCATTGCAACAGTTTGACAATATATACAGTGAGCTAAAAGTCACTTTATCATATAAAAAAGAAATGACTTTTTTACTATTAATTATTTTATAAGTTTTTTTTACATTTTAATGTACAAATATTGAAAATTGTAAAAGATAATATATTTAAATGACCTCTGTTTTCTTCTTTACAATAGTGAGCTCTTTCTGTAGTAAGAAGACTTTTGGCCTGCCCAATACTACAAAGTAATTTGCTTCTACAATGAAATTCACTTCTGTACACAAATGAAACTATACTATTGAATATAAAGCTTATTTACATGTTTATACTTGAAAAATATATCTTCATGTAAGCAATTCTCAACGTGATAAATTGTATGCTAAAACATGTAAATTACTATCAGCGAATGTATTTATTAACTGTAATTTAATGAAAAATTACAGTATAAATTAAATTGTTCTAAATTGTCTTTTCTTTTTTCTAGGTGTTGATAGACTTCCTAGTACTATGACACACAAATGCGAGATTTGTCATAAATCGTTTGCTACTAAACAGTGTTTAAGTTATCATATGAGAATCCACACGGGAGAAAAACCCTACAAATGCAAAACATGTAGTAAATGTTTTGCTTATATGTCCAATTTGAATACTCATATTAGAACTCATACAGGAGAAAAACCATACAAATGCATAACATGTAATAAATGTTTTTCTCATTCAAACAGTTTGAATCGTCATCTCCGCATCCACACAAGAGAAAAGCCCTACAAATGCAATACATGTAATAAATGTTTTGTTCAAATGTCCGATTTGAATACTCATATCCGAACCCATACAGGAGAAAAACCATATAAATGCATAACATGTAATAAATGTTTTAATCACTCGAGCAATTTGAATCGACATCTCAGAATTCACACAGAGGAAAGATCATACAAATGTGAAATATGTAATAAATGTTTTTCTAGTTCTAGACATCACAATCGTCATCTGAGTATCCACAGGTGAAAAAAACCGTAAGAGTGCAGAATATGTAATAAACGTTTTGAGGACAGATCCTGTTTAACTCATCATCAAAGATTCTACAGTGGAGAAACCCTTCGAATGTAAATTATGTAATGAATCTTTTTTGAAGAAAGGATATTAGATTGTCATTTCAAAAGACATTTGAGGAAGACACTACACAGGTATTAAATACTCCATAAAAATTTTTCCACTGGAATGAAAGTGAGTAACAATACAATAATTTATTCAAATCTCTTTCCCAGCAATAATGTCAGAAGCAATCGTCTTTTCGAAGAACAAAATTATTTAATTCAGCTTTCTTCCACTTATTATGAGTACTGACCATTGATTTTGTCTTTTATGTAATAGTCAATTTTAAACTAAAGTTAACCTGGATGCTCATCATGCAATGCACAATCTATACCTATGTAACTGCATTATTTGTTTTCAACTTTTCTGCAGCCATTAGGTTTTAGAAGAAAACAAAACAATACACAATTCATTAGTCAATTCATCTTACCATTGCAATAAATGCAGGATAACATTTGCTTAGGAAGAAGATTGTGAAGTTCATCTTAAATATAAGTTTTGTTTAAAAAATTTCGATTGATATTATGAAAACAAATATTTTATTGACAATTTTAAGTATTTTAAAGTGATTTTAAAATAATGTTTTTTGTGAAGATAATTAATTTTTTACATTTACTTCTGTAATACATTTAAATTATATCTAGTCTATATATATAAAAATGAATGTGTGTGTGTGTGTGTGTCTGTCCTTAATGCATTATCACATTGTTTATCTAATTGCCACGAAACTTTGGGAAGTTGTTTAATTAATATACTCCAGCGAAGGTTTTTGGCATAGTACGATTGCCATGAAACTTTGGAAAGTTTTTTTAATTTTTTAATACACTCCCGCGAAGTACATTTATCCTACGTTAGATGGCGCGCGTTTACACAAGCATTCGCGCACAGTGTGTTCGATCGATTTCAAATTGTGAAGACCATTTCCTCCCTTTCAAAAAATATCTCTATACATGCATTTGTGAACGGTTATTTACGATATTTATAATAATTTTTGTTTAATCACTTTATTTCAACTTTTCTTTTTGCTAATTATGTATTCGCTCGAGCTTCGTTAAAACCTTAACTGTACCCCGAACAACAACCGAAGTTGTAGGGAGAAATTCGTGTATTTTGCCAATCTAGGTATCCCCCCTTTTCCAAATTTTAATATTGACTCAAAATAATTTAAAAAGACAAATTACAATAAAACGGTTTATTATCCAACTATCAGAAATTTCACAACACGCCAAGGAAGAAAGGAAAGAGCAACTAAATAATGAAAATTATAAAGGATTTAAAAATATATATAAAAATGGGGAATATCGCACTTCTGACAATCGCAGCGAGTGTGTGGGCTAAATTTGGAGAGTCCGTGCTTCTCGTATGGACAACTGTATGTGGCCGTCTCACGCGTGGAAAAACCTTCCGATTTATTCGTGTACGCACGGAAAAAAATATCGTGTATTCACAAACACTCCAATAAATAACTAGAATTGAAACGACACTTTGAAATGTTTTCCCGATGAAAATAAATAATAACAATAAGTTTCAATAAAAATAATAAAATGTAAATTGAATTTTATCATAACGAGTTTGCTTGAATTTCCTTTTTTCTGAGATCGCAGCAATGCGCGACAGATAAGCTAATAATAGGATAAAGTACTATTTTTCATTAAGTTAATAGCATTCTTAGTTAGATATCTTAATAAATATTCCATATACTAGAGCTATTACTAATTATTCAAACGTGTTTTCAGCTGGCTAGGCATGTCACTTTTTCAAATGCAATTGTTAATTAATTAAAAAACGAGAAACAGAATTTATGCATGTTGAATACTAAATAAATTATAAACATTCAAAACAATTTCAAACAATAAATAAGTAAGTGAAGTATAATTGAAATACAACATAATTTGGCCTTAAAAATAATGTAAACACTATGTGAGTTACCCCCAGATAATGTCAACTGCAACTGGTTTTCTTTTACCCGAAGCTGGAGCAGATCTGAATCACACGTAATATTATTGTTTTATTGAGTTTTTTAATGTTTTTTGATCTTTAGGAATCGTGCTGTTATCCAACGACAGTTAAACTGATTTACTTGTTATACATGTAAAGAAAAATCGAAAAATTTTACGTGTCCAGCCAGTTGTTAAAACGCGAACCCTTTACACCAGTTGTCAGTGGTTTTATAAACTTGGTCATTGGTGAGAATTACAAGTATTTCAACAATTTGTAAAAGTGCATAAAAGCGTTCTAATTTCTTTATTAAATAAAAATTAATTTAACGAATATTTACATAGATTGTGAGTTACTACATTGTTAAATAAGACAGCAATTTCACTACTAATTGATAGTCTAGGCCATTCTATATTAACTTACGAATTATAAATTTGAAAATTAAACGTTAAAACGTACTCTGAATTTGTATTCTAATGGAAGAAATGCAGATAAAAGTCATCCGATTAACACGAAATTATCATATATCAGCAAAGAAATGAAGCTTTGATTAATGTAAATTCAGATAATGTAATAGTTTATTCGTATTTACCTATATAGGTAAAACAGAACAATATCCCAGCAACTGTAACACAACCCATAAGAGATATAATTGCCAATGCCGCTTAGACTATTTTCACCTTACGATTCATTTTTATAAAGATGCCTTCATATAACAAAAATATAGACACATACAGAAATTAAATGTATAAAATTTACATAAAAATTTTTCATTTTTCGTTTATTTCTTCAAATTATTCACGTAAATTAAAATCCTTTTCCATGGTTGAGAGTGGTAAATTAAATTTCTTTAAAATTCTTTTCCAGTGCTGAGAATGGTAAATTAAAATTCTTTTATATGGGACATGGAAAAGAATTTTAATTTACCACTCTCAACACTTGCATTCCCATGTGAGAAAGAAAGAAAAATTTTGATAATAGACCATAGATCTCGCAGTTGCCTATCATCCTTCAAAATTTCACAATAAAATGTGGATCTAGACAGCGATATATCGCATCTCTGCAACAGAAAAAAGATATTCAGAAGCAGCAGACATTGAGGGCTGCAGAAAAAAAAAACTTACACAACAACTTAAGGACTTCAAAAACAACACAAGAAAACGTTAACAAAAGATCACGAAAAGGAAGAAAAAAAAATTGAAATGAAAATAAATACACTTGAGGAGAAAAGACTAAAACTACATTAATATAATAGTTTTTGTGTTTTGTGAATTGTAATTTATTTTTTATTTTCGAATTATCTATATTTTGAAAAAAAAGGATTAATACTAAGAAGTTTCTCTGTATTTTGATTGTCCATTTTGTAAAAAAATAAAAAGATTTTACAATAAATTAGATGCATTTCTTAGAGAAGATATAGAATAAACTTATACCTATTCCTCTTTATGTACAATCATTGATTTTTTTACGTGGGAAAAATGCTTTATTTAAAAATTTTTAAATTTAACTTTTTGTTAAAATTATGTTGCTGTTTAAAAAACAAAGTTACTCTTTTTGTTGAAAGATTGATTTTAAAATTATGTGTTTCTAAGTCAAGAGTTCATTTTAAGCACAGTACAGTACTATTTGTTTATCAAAGAATACTGTTTGTTGATTTCATGTTACCTTATATTTACTAGATTTACATACAAATAATNTTCGTTTGTTTTAAGCCCGGTGCAGTACTAGTTGTATGTCAGAGAATACTATCTCTTCATTTTATGCTACTACATCTTCATAGAAATAATAATGACAAATGACGATAAAGTAAAAAAGCTTCCGTTTCGTTTGTAAATTGCTTATTTTTTCATTACATTGAAGTTTTAAAAAATTTATTTATCGAAGAACAGAAACCGGATTACCTGTAATTAAATGTAATTATACAAAGTGATTTTTATAACATAAATATATATAAAAATAATATTTTCAATCACATTTAAGGTTATTCATAATTAAAGTATAAGGCATTTTTATGCAAATTACGTTAGAGAATCGACGAGTATGTGTTTGTAGGTGCTCAAAGACAAAGGAAATTGTTCGTATCAATCGACAGTAATTGAAAACATAAATAAGACTGGTTTTATTCTGTAAGTATTTCAGTTATTTTAAAATTAGAGTAACTTTTATAATTAAAAGTTTGTATTGTTTTAAGTAAAATTAAAATTATTAAATGAACAGTATCATACTCTGCAGATTAGAGAAACAAAATTAAAATTTCAGACAAAACCTAAATTTTTTTTATTTATTTATAATAGATATTGAATGTTTATTAGCTATCGATTTTATAAACATAAATTTATTATTTACAATGCTAATTCATAAATTTGGATGGATATAGTTAAACGCAATGCCTGATCAGAATTCTTATTTTGAATTTGTATCAGCCACTTTTTGAACTATTGCATTGAAAAAAGTTAAATTTTTAGTTAATTAAGAAAGAATTTAAATGATTTTATTACATGCTAATGTAATCCAGTAATTCTGATTAGTAAACAGTTATCTGCATGAACTGTTACACGAACATCTAATAACTAAAATTAAAAATGAATGTAAATTACAGGATGATCGTTATAAACCTGTAATACTCAGAGAACTTTTTAGCCCCAACAAATAAGCCAAAATTTGTCAATATGCTAATATTAAGATTTTTTTCCACAATTTAATATACACGACTTAAAGACTTTTTAACCTAAGCATTAAGAACAACATTTTTTAAATGAATCTCCTTTTTTCTTTACAATAGCAAGCTCTATCTGTGGTAAAATGACTTTTGTCCCACTCTGTACTACAACAAAATATGCCTCTACTTTAAAATTAACTTTTATACAAAAATAAAACTAAACTATTGAATATGAGGATTATTATATGTTTATACTTCAAAAATATATCCTGATGTAAGAAATCGTCAACATGATAAATTGTATGCTAAAACATGTAAATTACTCTCAGTATGTGTAGTTATTAACTGTAATTTAAGAAAAATTGCAATATAAATTAATAACTCTAAAATGTATTGTTTCCTTTGTAGGTGTTGATAGACATACATTGTACAATGTTTTACAAATGCAAGATTTGTGATAAGTCGTTTACGAGGAAACAGGGTTGAAGTTTTTATATGAGAATCCATACAGGAGATAAACCCTACGTATGTAAAACATGTAATAAACGTTTCGCTTATAAGAGCAATTTAAATTCTCATCTCAGAACCCACACGGGAGAAAAGCCATACAAATGTAAAACATGTAATAGATGTTTTGCGCAATGGAGCACTCTGCAATATCATCTCAGAATCCACACAGGAGAAAAATCATACAAATGTGAAACATGTAATAAATGTTTTGTTCAAAAGTTCTATTTGAATATTCATATCCGAACCCATACAGGAGAAAAACCATATAAATGCATAACATGTAATAAATGTTTCTCTTACTCGAGCAATTGGAATCGACATCTCAGAACCCACACGGGAGAAAAACCCTACAAATGCAATACATGTAATAAATGCTTTGCTCGAAAGTCCTATTTGAATACTCATATCCAAACCCATACAGGAGAAAAACCATATAAATGCATAACATGCAATAAATTTTTTTCTCACTCGAGCAGTTTGAGTCGACATCTCAGAATTCACACAGAAGAAAGATCATACAAATGTGAAACATGTAATAAATGTTTTTCTAGTTCTAGACTTCACAATCGTCATCTGAGTATCCACAGGTGAGAAAAACCCTAAGACTGCAGAATATGTAATAAACGTTTTGAGGACAGACTCTGTTTAACTCATCATCAAAAATTCTACAGTGGAGAAACCCTTCGAATGTAAATTATGTAATTAATTTTTTCTTGAAGAAAGGATATTAGATTGTAATTTCAGAAGACATTTGAGGAAGACGCTACACAGGTATTAAATACCCATCAAAAATTCCTCCCCTGGAATGAAAGTAAGTAACAATACAACGACTTATTCGAATCTATTTTCCAGGGATTATGTTAGCAGCAATCGTCGTTTCGAAGAACAAAATCATTTAATTCAGAACCTTTTTACTCATTCTGAATACAGACCATCGATTTTGTTTTGTGTGCAATATTCAATATCAAAGTGATGCTTAACTGGATGCTCATCGTATAATGCACGATCTATATCCATTTAATTGCATTGTTTTCAAGTGTTCTGCAGCCATAAAGCTTTAGAAGAACACAAAATAATACACAATTCATTAGACAATCCGTCTTACCATTGCAATAAATGCACTGTAACATTTGCTTGGGAAAATGATTATGAAGTTCATCTTGAATATAATATGAATTTTGTTTAAAAATTTCGACTGAAAATTTGCCTACAAGAATTTTAATGACAATTTTAAGCATTTTAAAGTGATTTTACAATAAAGTTTATTGTGAAGATAATTACTTTTTTATATTTATTTTTATTTAATACATTTAAATTAAATTTAGTGATAAAATAAAGTAGTTTATCATTAATTAGATAACAGTTTTAGTTTGATATTTTAGTAATAAATCTACTGTCCAGAATATTTATTAATTAATCAAAAGTTTTTGACTGCCTAAGTTTATCGTTTCTGAGGATCCAATTATTAGCAAAGTTGAGGCCGAAGTTTTAAACGGGAAAACGTGTACGTCGGAAGTTCAGCGCCACTGTCCTCTTAGCATAGAAATTTGACAATGTGTTTCGAATGTCGAGCATATTTCCACTGACTATGTAACTACTATTGTCAAACTCTTAAGGGATAAGTGCAATGGCAATTCGGTTCTCTATGCAGAAATGAATGGAGTAACAGACTGAAATCTTATACTTTTTAATCTAAAATTTATGTCGATCCACGCGTTAAAATTTACTGCGTCTACAGCAAATAATAAAAGCAAAAAGATTTATCAATATTTCAATACAGTGCAAATGAGTGAAGGATTTGAATTATCAATACAATCATCTCAATTTCTATTCTAGCAACAAGAATATCATATTTTATTACTATTTGAGCAAACCAATGGTGCTGTTTTATCACAAACTTATCAAAGCGACTTCAGTATGTCATAAACCCCTTTTTTAAATTTATTTACGTACCTTTAATGAAATATATTTCAGATTCATATTGAGGGGATTTACAATAATGTTTAACGCCCCTGTAAAAGTAAAATGAAAGTTCTTCAACTATCGCTTTATTTGTGCTTGAAATATGTTATCTTATCTTATGGGATATATCTTATTGATTTTAATAATGTATTCAGAGAAATGCTTAATGTGTATTTAATAATTTGATTTTTACACCAAACGTAAACTTTTTTGCTGTTTATATTTTAATAATAATGTTAAAATTGGGAATTTGTTCCTTTCTTTTGTACAGTTTAATACGTAAAAACTGTATAACAACTGAAGAAGGACAATAAGAGTCCAAAATACATTTGTGACCGAAGTGTCGGCACCACGGCAACATGACACCGTATGTTTTAAGCGACATAGATATCGCGATAGAGGTCGCGTATTTAGGCTTTTGGATTGGTGATAGAGGCTCTACGAGAGACAACGATTCAAAGGAGGTGCAACAAACACAAGATTAACAATAACAAATACTTGTTTATTGCCTATTTACAAATAAGCCAAACATACTCTACAATTGAAAGTTTAAACATTATGACTATCCTTTTTCATATTTTTAAAAAGTTAGTATATTGTATTAAAGGCTTAGTATTTATCCTCGCGAGGTTTAGTCTTGAGAGACAGTTTACATAAATTCGAGAGCGAATAAATACCTTGTAGAGAATATGAGGATAGACGACTTGAAGGGGTTGTGGATTTAAATTGATGATACGATGAATTCATGAGTCGTAAGGTTCGATAGAAGTTTCTTGTATATTTGGTAAAGTCTTCGGGCTATTCCAGTGACAGGATGGAGGGGAGTATGATATCTTCGGGGTCGTTAACGTATCTGAGTTCTAGTGCAACTCCGGAGAAGCGCGAACTTTCAGTAACGATGGACGACGATCGTCATGAATTCCTTTCTTTTTTTTGGTCCTTTTTCTACCGAAAAAATCAATTGTGGGTAAAGTTGTACATTCATATTTCGTTGTTGTTTCTTGATAATCCAAGTTAATTTCCTTCGTTGTTTTTGGTGAGATTTCTTTCTAACCTGTTTTTACGTAAATAATTCCTTTACTCTCATACACAAGTAAATTTGGGTCCTTTTCAAAAATTTCAAGTTTGATTAAGTTTTCCGTTTAGAAATTATAACTTTCTTCGTCGAACTTATAGCTTTTGGAAGGAGAAGATGTTTAAACTTAGGTAATAAGGATTCACGTCTTATTGGGATCCAAATACAGTATATAGCAGGGGTGGCCAACCTGCGGCTCGCGAGCCGCATGCGGCTCTTTGAATGATTATTTGTGGCTCTCGATAAATGTACCCGAGTTCCCTTTTCATTTTTGTGTTATTATATTTTAAAAAATTATTATTGTTCCGTATGTGTTTCAAAATGTCTTTTAAATTACTAACAACAAATATGAAAGATTAAGTGCAACGTTGTAACAAATTTCATTTCCGTCCAAGTTAAGAATAATATGACTCATGGAAAACTGCGCGAACGAACATAAGCAGTGGCGTAATCGTCCATTATCGACCGACTCCAGACCGATTTTGAATTTGTAAACTGTCATTGCAATGGACAGCTGACATTGTGCTCTGGAAGAAACAATTTGTATCACTCTTGCTACGNTCTTTTTTTTAATAAAATTAACTTATATAAAATACTAACCAATCACATCTTCGTTAAAAAAAAAAAATAAACTAACAACCAATCATATTTTTCTTAAAGAACAAAACATATATTATGAAGCAGATAAAAAAAACTCAGCCTATGCACCGTAGTTAGAAGACAAAAAAACACAGCTGTCCCCAGTTAAAGGACCAGCTGCATTCCCACGACCTAGATAATAACTCTTCAAAGACAGGACAAAGAAGTAGCTGAGGATAAAAGCGAGTGAATTTTTTCCAGAACTTCAGTCATCGACCAACCTTTCTACTGAGAACTTCACTCATCAACCAAGTTTTCTACCGAGAACTTCACTCATCGACTAAGAACTTAACTCATCATGTCTGACATCGGTAATTCTTATACAAATTAAATATAATCTACACCGTATAAGTCTTTATTTCGATATTATTCAAAAAAAATTTTTATTAATTTCAAAAAAAAATTTTTTTTTATAAAATTTTTTTTTGAAAAAATGTGTTATATATACTAATTAATTTTTGTACTTCAGAATGTATCAAACGCATACTACTATTAGTCTATTAACAAAAGAAATTCATTTCAGTTTTGTTAGAAAATGTCCCAAAAACGAAAGAAATGAAAAGTGCTGTCGTTAGAAGATGGTGTTAAAATTATCAGAGAGACTGAAAATGGTTTATTACCGTGATGAACCGTAGGTGGTTGCCATAGACAGGTTTTACTGTAGTTTAAAAATTCTCCTTTACACGTTTCTTAAATAATTCTTGAACACGTAAAGTAGCGTAGAAAGTATCAAAAAGTATCAAAATAAATAAATAAACGTTACTTTATCGCTATAATCAACATGTATTCGGAAAACAAAGAATTAACATACAATACAATATGCATTTTACAAATACGTAGTACATAATTTTATTGAAAAGTTATGATGAACTCACACAGCTATAAACTAATTAATGTCATTAAAATAATAGTAAAATGGATAAAAACCATTAACCAATAAAATATTTAGATTATATTAAAAGTATATTGATTTATATATATGAACAAAAGATTAAAGGCTAATTGATATAAAAAAAAGTCAAAACGTGGATTACCTCGGAACATAATAAGAGCAATGTTCACAAATTTCTCAATGTAAAAAATTCCACATTTTAATTTAAAGATTTCTGAGGAAGAACTCCTTTGAAGAACGAAATCTTTCGAATTTCCATTAGATTATCGTGGTACTTTTAAGGTTCAATTAATAAATGTTCTTTGTTATTATGCACGAGTTGAACGAATCACTTCTGGAATGATCGTTTCTTTAATTCCTTGTTTATTATTTTACTACGAGTCTCCTTACAAGATCGTTCACTTGCGAAGGAAATATTTCTATGAGAGAAATATTACTGGTGAGGTCTGAAAAACTTTGTCATGCTACGTGATCTGTCAGTCACGTGATCTAATTAGTCACTCGGACGTTTTCTGATCTGTTAAATCTGGTGTCAGAAATGGGATTACCTTCGTAACTCCTGAATTAATGTGAAAAAATCTGTAGTAGTAAATATTATAGAGGAAAAAAATGGAGGCTAGAGAAGAAGCAAATCCTCATAGTTGCTCAAGTCCATAGACAACTGAAAGTGCATTCTTGATGGGCAGATTTGGCAACACGATCCCCTTAATTCCTTCATCTTTATGAGACCTGAAAAATCTCATTTTTTTAATTGTTACATGAGATAGCGAAGTAAAGAAATTGAACAAAGAATAACATTTAAAATATTTATCTTGTATACTAGTTCTTTATCAATTAACAAAACTTATTATACTGGATTTATGGATGCAGAAATTTAGTCTTACAGAGCAAAAATAATATTTTTTATTTAGTTCACCAGTATCACAAATAAAAAAATAATTAATTATAAATCTGTTTTTCCTACTTCTATGGAATATAACATATTTCAAAATGTATATGAATAAAACAAGACAAAGAACAAGTAATATAGAAACACGAAAACAAGAGACTAGATCGTTATTGCGTATTAGTGGCGGAATGGAAGCGCTATATTATCAGCTTCCAAACAGCCAAATTATACTCATACGCGCATGAGATTTACAGAGCACCAACCTCACCCGGCTTAGCTGGTGGAAGCTACACACGTATAGCACTTTCAATGACTCTATCCCGGACTGGTCCTGGGCTGTTAGCAGCCTGCCCGCTAGATATTTGGCTGCCTTCGCCCGATTTTGTGAATCGCGAGTAGATTTATAACTTAACCCAACCGATAAGACTCATGGAAAACTGCGCGAACGAACATAAGCAGTGGCGTAATTGTCCATTATCGACCGACTCCAGACCGATTTTGAATTTGTAAACTGTCATTGCAATGGACAGCTGACATTGTGCTCTGGAAGAAACAATTTGTATCACTCTTGCTACGGATATAATTCTGGAATTTTTTGCATACCTTTTTAATACGTATTTAATTGCGGCTCGCGAAAAATTTCAAATTTTGAAAAATGGTTCGGACTATCAAGAAGCTTGGCCACCTCTGGTATATAGACATCGGAAATGTAACTTTGAGATTCCACCAAGAAGTTGAATTTGGCTCTAGCTTTCGTTTGGGC